GGTAAATAATTAAAATTTTAGGTAAATATAATATGTTAAATTTGTGTTTAAATAAATTCTTACTCTATCTATTTATTTTTAATAAGATTAGATGGAAATTATTTATTTTGTTGTTTATAAACAATAATAACATCAATTCGATTATTTGTTATGGGCTGCATTTGAATACCTAGGATTCATTTCAGGGACGGAGGATAAGTAGGGCTACGGGGGGCTGCCCCCACGTAAGCTCTTTATATAAAAATAATATATATATCTTAAAGTTCTAGTTATTTATAAAATTATTAAAATATTTATTTGCAAAAATCATAATTCCATCTATGCTCATTTGTTTTTGTTTTTTTTCCTCAAAGTTTTTAGTAATTTTAAGGTTATCTTACTTTTGCATAATATATATATAATAATACAAGGTGAAACTTTAAAGTTTACATAAGTCACTTTACAAATTCTCTATTTCATAATTTTAATTTTCAAGTTTTAAATTCAACGCAAGTCAAAATACTCTAATTCATAATTTTAAAGGTACTCTGCTTTTACATAATATATAATAATATATATTAAAAGTTTACAATTTACACAAACCACCTTATGAGTTAAACATATATAAACTTATGAGTTCAAAGTTCAAAGTTTTTTTTTTTTCTTTTTCTTTTCTTAAGGAAGGGTTAAAGAGTAAATACATTTAGAATAGACACTCATGGCAATAGGTCAATCAATTGTAAATTCAAATTTTGAAGCAAAATGACAACAAAATCTCTTCAAAATTTATAATTCACATGCCAAATTGTAGAAGATGACTGGAAGAATTCAGAAAAGGAAGAAAGAAAAAGGAGAAATATTATGAGGGTAAATTTGAGTTTCTTATTAATTAGAGTAGTTAGAAATTCCATTACATAAAATGTATATATATATGGTATAATTTACTTTATTTTAAATTAAGATATCTATTACTTATAATGATATTTTTACTTTTGTTTTAACTTATAGTAAATTTTGGTAGATAATAATTACTTTGTGAAAATACGTTAGGTATATTATATACTTATATTTGCAAGTTATCAAAAACAATTTTTTGGTCCCCCAAACATTTTGCTCAAGCTCCGTCATTGTTTCCTTTGTTAGTGTTGTATTCTATTTGTGATAAGTTGGATTTCTAAAAAATTAAGAGGAAAAACACCCAAAACTAAATTATTTCATTAATCTCAAATATTAATTAAAATAAGTATATAAGATTAATAAATTAAAATTAATTAAAATTAATAAAATCTATATTGTTAGATAAAATATTATGTAAAAAATATATATATACAAAGCGTTGTCAAACAAAACTTTAATATAAATATCTTTAAAAAATAATCAAGATATATTCTTAAATCAGTTTGCACGCAATATTTAAGATTAATCCTTCCCAATGCATTCAAAAGTAGGCCATATACATAAAAACTAGGGTATTCAAAATTAAAGCGTACTCAATTGCAGAGCAAAGCAAGCCCCTTAATTACTAAGTTACTTGCGTAATTGTGCTATAACTTTTCATGCGCAATCTAGGTGAGTTTTAATATATCTTACAATATATGAAGGATATATTTATTATTAATTTATATAAAAAAATTACAAAAATCAATTTTATTGTTAACATTCATGCCATGTAGAATAACTTAGTTGGATGGTTGATAAAACTAAAATCAAGTTTTATTTTTTTATATGAATTAGTAATAAAAATATAATAAATACACTCTTAACTTACACTATAAATACATAGGTTAATGTATTCCATAAATATATTAGGGTTAAATATGGGTCCACGTGCACCTCTTGTATCCAAAAATGGCTGGATTTCTCGTTCAAAGCTAACCTGCTATGTTATTGGTCTTTCCTTATCAAAGTTCATCAATCTTTAAATTCACGCATTTCTTTGGGTGCATCAATCACATTAATTAGCTAACTAACACAATCAAAATAAGTAAAGATGAGTTGACCCTCTCTCTCACTCTCCGTCTAGCAATTATTGATTGAACCAAATCCATTTTTTTTAGCTGTCCACATTGCAGAAATTTGTGGCAGCTACCACTTTCAAAATAGTTGGACCTTGTACGTGAAAGCTTCTTCAATTCCCAATTTATCCATGCACAAGTGTATATAATTTACATTGTTAAAAGATTTTTAATTTCTGCTCTACTCCTTTTACATTTCTCAACCACTTGCTCCATTTAGGTCAAAACAATCAATCCATTGTTCAATTTTGTATAAAACCAACTTTGCTTATAGGCTTATACTTTGCATTAAATTGCTAGGACTGCCAACTAAGTATGATGCATGTGATCTTGTTGATAGGGGGAGAAACTGGGGAGGTATTAGGTATTAGGAAAAATCAACTTTGCTTTTGATTTTGTCTATCTTCTGCTTGTGTAATTGCCTGAGCGAATTTGCGCATCTAAAGCCACCAGCAGTTATTGCTGGGCCAGGAGGTAGAAGTGTTTATTAGTCTTAAAACTTGCTCTCCGCAGTTTATCACCCCTGTTTGTGTGATTGCCCCAGAGATATTTTCTGTATATATATATATATATATATATATATTTGAACAGCATATTTTCTGTGTATATGAGGCTGTAATTACAAGGCAGATATATATGGAATAGTCCGCAGTGGGGAGAGGGGTTTGAACTTTCTGTCACTAACCTCATGCATTTTACCTATGCTATTGGGAAAAGAGAGAGAGACACATGCCTTCAATTAACATACAATAAATTCTTCATCTAACAGGCACATGGGATGGTGCTGTTGCAACAACCAAGTACTTGACTTTGAATTATCATTGGAAAAGTCCTGGTATACGTATCTTTCTTCCTGTTGTAAGTTTCTTGGTTTGGCCCCTGGTGCTATGCTATGGTTTTCGGTCATGGCTACTCACCAAGCAACAAAGCACCTCACCTCCCATATCATAGCTTAATGTTGGATGCATGAGATGGCTTCTATATTATTTTTGTTCTTCAAAAACCCCCCATATTAAAACCATGAGGGTGAATATAAACAGTTAAATATCTCTTGATCTCTGTCAAATTAAGTAGGAGTACACACGATTGGTTTATATTACAATGTTAAGGATGTAAACAACAATGGTTTACTAGCATTTCATTTTGCCTGGCGGGATTTTAATTTTCTGCATGCACCTTAACAATCTCTATTGTGTATTCGGTTAGTTTTTCTGCAGCTAGACAGCTACAAGTTTACCATGAATAATACTCAATAAAAGCCTGTGGCCCTGGTATAAGATCAATGCCCTGGCTCTAGTAGCTGCTAGCATGCAAATAGTAACCAAAACTTAAGCCCCTTTACAATCTTATTGAGAGTTAGGACCTGCTAGCTGACCCTAACATGCCACAATCTACCTTCATGAGATAAGGAAATGAGAACCTTTTTTTCGGACTTTGACCTACCACACGGGAGAGAAACAGCGTTTGATGTTAGAAGTTTCATGTACTACTGAGAAGATAAAGATAATGTGAAGTAGTAGAACCCCACTCATGTGAGTTGCCTGCTGACTGATAGTGTAAATAAATCAGAATAAGAAACTAAACAGAAAAAAAAACAACTCATCCATTGTGTGTGTTGGTGTTGATAATTGCGACCGGAAGAGTAGTTAATGAATTCAATATGGGTATCAGTTAGTTGTTGGGACAATTTAATGCATGCTTTTTGGTTTATAAAATCAATCAAAGGTGTTATTTTCATTAACAAGCTCAGTCTTCGGAAAACATATAATGGCACGGGTTAGGGGGGTTGTTCTTTTATCGTTGTTATGTCTTCATGCTTTGGCAGTGAGTGTTGTAACTGCGAGGGATGATGTGACTGTGGACAAAAATGAGGGGAAATTCTTGAGTAGCAAGAAGGGAGGAGGATTTGGTGCTGCTGGTGGAGGAGGTGGATTTGGTGGTGGTGGAGGCTTAGGAGGCGGGCATGGCATTGGTGGTGGGTTTGGTAAAGGTGGTGGACTTGGCGGAGGAGTTGGCGGTGGTGGTGGGTTTGGAGGTGGCGGTGGTGGAGGCTTAGGTGGTGGCCATGGCATTGGTGGGGGGTTTGGTAAAGGTGGTGGACTTGGTGGAGGAGTTGGTGGCGGTGGTGGGTTTGGAGGTGGCGGTGGTGGAGGCTTAGGAGGTGGCCATGGCGTTGGTGGTGGTGTTGGCGGTGGGTTTGGTAAAGGTGGCGGTTTGGGCGGGGGGATTGGAAAGGGAGGAGGACTTGGACGTGGGGCTGGCGGTGGTTTTGGTAAGGGCGGTGGAGTTGGAGGAGGCGTTGGCAAAGGTGGAGGACTTGGTGGAGGCATTGGAAAGGGTGGTGGACTTGGTGGAGGAATTGGAAAGGGTGGAGGATTTGGTGGAGGAATTGGAAAGGGTGGTGGACTTGGTGGTGGGATTGGGAAGGGTGGTGGACTTGGTGGTGGTATTGGCAAAGGTGGAGGCGTTGGCGGTGGGATTGGAAAGGGTGGTGGACTTGGTGGTGGCATTGGCAAGGGAGGAGGTCTTGGTGGTGGGATAGGTGGAGGAATTGGGAAAGGTGGTGGAGTTGGAGGTGGCGTTGGTGGTGGAGTTGGAGGTGGCGTTGGTGGTGGAGGTGGAGGTGGAGGTGGAGGTGGAGGTGGAGGTGGGGTAGGAGGCGGCTTCGGAGGAGGCTTTGGTGGGGGATTTGGGGGAGGAGCAGGAGGTGGTGGTGGTTTTGGAGGGGGTGGTGGTGGTGGTGGTGGGGGTGGTGGAGGTGGAGGTGGAGGTGGAGGTGGAGGTGGAGGTGGGGTAGGAGGCGGCTTCGGAGGAGGCTTTGGTGGTGGATTTGGGGGAGGAGCAGGAGGTGGTGGTGGTTTTGGAGGGGGTGGTGGTGGTGGAATTGGACACCACTAAACTATATACGTCGCGCTTCTTCATAATGCATGCTTGCATGGATGGACTAGTAATTTATAAAAATTCAAATCGTATAATTACTTATTATAAAGGCATGATTCACTTACATGTCTCGTATCGTTGTCTAACTTTTATTTTATAAATATAATATTATTACGTATTATCTTAAATTAGTAATCTGTATTACCATATGTGATCGAGAGATTTTGTTTGCTTCAGCAAACTTGTGGTACCATCTATCAGAACGGGTAGTTAATCTTCATTCAATATATATAGTACCATCAGTTATTCTCTCCCAACAACCAAGTCGTTTCACTTTGGTGCATTTTGATTTATTCTAGCTTGTTT